TTAAAGCTGATTTCCTTAGGCCAGTCTCTGTAGTGGGTTGTTGGATTTCTCTGCTGAAAGTGAATGGATGTATGGTATATAACAGTTCACCAAAGCTCTGGTGGCAGAGTTTTAACAAGATAAAGCAACAAATAGATGCGAGCTCACAGCCCTGTGGGTTTTCCTTCATATTCTATTGTTTGATGCCTCCGTGTAGCCAGGAAAGAAGCTGAAGGCTGGGCTGTTTGCTTTTAAGTTCAGAGGAGTCCAATTAAGGGTCAGCTCTGTTCCCGTAAACCACAGTGCCAAGACCTTTTTGAAGAACTTTGAAGAATGAAAGCATATTGCTTACTGCTATTAGGAAATCTTTTTTGAAAAATAAATAAATAAAAGGCCAAATAATTCTTTGATCTCCCTAACAACATGGTATAGAGTTTGTGATAGGGAGCTTGAAAGTGGTATTAGATTGTCTTCAATTGGTATGTTCTTGGTACTTGTCTGTTTTCCAAAACAGAGGTTTTAACCTCAAGACTTCAGCTGATGTCAGTTGGGCCGAAGTTTCTAAGTCGCCCACGTACACCACTAAAACCATTACCGTGAACTGAGTCCAGGACAGCTGGGTAGCAAGCTGAGTGGTTTCCAAGTAGGTACTCGAGTGTGTTAAGCAGACGTGCATGCAAACTGTTTATGTCTCAGACTTGTGGCCATGTTGTAAAGTATGTTGAAACTTCAGCTGGGTTGTGGCTTTGGGGACGTGTGTGTCAGTTAACTAGAACAGTGGATTGTGTGAAAAGTTGTTTACCAGAAGTACATTTTAAAATTACTACTTCTGCTTTTATGGTATGTCAATTGGAGTTGTCCTTTAAATCTCAAACACTGGTCTGAGAACTTACATATTCCTAAAATCTATTAAAAGTAATTGCACCATTCCCACTATTTAATTCTCTATAGGGTGATGAAACTGTGGGTTTTGTGAATTGCCTCTTCATAATCTTCATATCGTTTTTCTATTTGATTATTTGTCTTTCTGTTTTATGATGAGTTTTAAACATTTTGAAGATAAGGTTGTTAGGTGTGGCACTCCCTTTTAATTCCATTTCGAAATCTGTGGTTTCTTTGGCTGTGATACGAATTCATTAGTTTTCCCCATATTTTTTTCACCCATGTTTCAAAGTATTATTTTGTGTCAGTAAAATGGTATGAAGAAGAGGTTCTCTTAGGATACTTAGGCAAGGCACAGAGGGCAAGGAAGAATGGGATTAAAAACAATGGGCTTCCCTGGTGGCTCAGAGGATAAAGCGTCTGCCTGCGATGCGGGAGACCCGGGTTTGATCCCTGGGTTGGGAAAATCCCCTGGAGAAGGAAATGGCAATCCACTCCAGTATTCTTGCCTGGAGAATCCCATGGACAGAGGAGCCTGGCGGGCTGCAGTCCATGGGGTCGCAAACAGTCAGACACGACTGAGCGACTTCACTTCACTTCATGTGAAAGACAAAGAAAAAAGGTAGGAAGGGGAGCTGAGAAGCCTGTGCGTGAGGACATGTTGGGTCAGCAGGACTGCACCATGGTCTCAGGCGTCTGTGGAGCAAGGGAGGGGAGACCGTCACGGTACAGTACCATGATGGAGGCAGGCGTGGGATACCAGAAGCTCTGAGATCACTGGGGGTCTGCTTCCTTGGGAGAGTCAGAGAAGACTTCAGAGAGCTGAGTCCTGCCAACCCAGTCAGGGAAGGAAGAGTGAGCAAGGGACACAGTTGCAGGAAAGAGTTTGTTCAGAGCTCAGAGGTGTGGCCGAGGGGCTAGAAGTGCACACACACATAGATGGGCTTAAGCTAAGTAAGGAGTGGGCTGAGACGGTAAAGAATCTGCCTGCAGTGCAGGAGACCCAGGTTCGATCCCTGAGTCGAGACGATCGCTGGAGAAGGGCTTGGCCACCCACTCCAGTCTTCTTGCCTGGAGAGCTCTGTAGACAGAGGCGCCTGGTGGGCTACAGTCCGTGGGCTTGCAGAGCTGGAAGAGTCACTTTCTGAGAGTCTCGGAGTCTCATTTTCTGAGAGGTAAGTGGGAAAAAGTTCTGAGCATAAGTCAGTTTTGAATATAAGTCGGACAGATTCGGTCCGGCCCACCTGTTTCCTGTTTGACCCTTTGTGGAAGGCCTTTGGCTCGTGGGGCTTAAAGCCTTTGATGAAAGTTTACCAGAGTCTAGATCTGTAATGTGAGTTTCATTGCATGATGTATAGAAGGGTACAAAGGCATTGGAGTCTCAGGAGTTATTTGGATTTCTGTTTGCCAATTCTTCTCTTTTCTGGGAGCAGTATGATGATTTCTTAGTCAAAATGTATCCTTATTTCCAAGTAGCAGAGAACTTGACAATTTAACAAGGGCTAGAGTATTCCAATTCTTGAGAAAAGTATCCTCAAAATGTTTCCTTTTCGCTCATTAGAATGAGTCACTCCCCAGGGGGCTCTCTGCAAAAGCTCCCTTGTGCCCAGAAAGGGATGTTGCTGAGAATTCTGCCCTGGCATTAATATTCAGGGATGTATAACCCTTTCATAACTGCTGACCTCTGGAGCAACTTCATGACTTAACATGGAAGTGTGCATAATCACCAACAGTGGAAACTGCCAGAAGCACAGCATCCGTGCGGCTCCCTTGCAGTGTCATCCTGGAGGAGAGGACACTGGAAGCAAGAGTAGACTTCTGACTGAGAACCCTCCAGGTTGCTTCCTCTTGTTGATTCCCTGAATAAACCTTTCCCAGAGAGTCTCCCCTCATGCTGACATTGGGAAATGAAATTCAGGGTCTCTTCTAGTTGATGAGCATCAGAAAAATGACTGGAGAGTCAATTTCTCATGGGGTGGAGCTAGAAGAGGTTACTCAACAGAAAGCTCAGTAGGCCTGAGAGTTAAAGGCCCAGGATAAAGCTTCACCCCATCCCACTTCCAAGCTAGTTCCTGCTCTGGACCATCCTGTTGACCAAAGCAGAGTTGCTCCAGGTAGCCTCTTTCGTGGGGGTCGTGTCTGCTGTGATTCCTCCGTGTGAACTGCCCCAACCAGGTCCTGAAGGATGGCTGTGTCCTAGTGACGATTCAGATGACTGAAGAAGTTGAAAACTCTTCTGCAGCGTGAGCCTTGTAGAACATTTTGAAGTAATTTACCTTGAAAAATCATCTCTTTCAAGATATGCAGCATAAGGAGTCTTACAGAAGCACAGAGAAAGGGAATTGGGAGGGCAAATGCAGTCCTTTCACTTTGGAGATCTGAGGAAATGGAGGCCTATGGAGGAGGAACCGGCCTAGAGTCACAGAAAGTAACTTGGGGAGCCAGGACCTGAAACACACTTAGTGTGACAGCTGTGCCTCTAGCGCTCCTTTTACTGTTAGAAGTGCATGTTTGACCTGCTGGAATCAAGGCTGTGACAGGGCACTTGGCTTTTGTATAAAATAAGCATAAAGGCTAAAATGGACATTGGGATAGGCGGCATGAGCAGGCACTGTGCTAGGGAGACCTAATTAAAGTTTCAGCAGGAGATGGAGAAACCCTGCCCTGGAGGAACACTCGGTGAAGGAGAAAATGTTAGTCGCTCAGTGGAGTCCGACTCTTTGTGACCCTGTGGACCATAGCCCGCCAGGCTCCTCTGTCCGTGGGAGTCTCCAAGCAAGAATACCAGAGTGGGTTGCCACTCCCTTCTCCAGGGGATCTTCCCAACCCAGAGAGTGAACCTGGGTCTCCTGCATTGCAGGCAGGTTCTTTACTCAGTGGAGGAGAAAATCACAGGATCATCCAATGCACTGTGACTGGTGGTGTTAGGAAAGAGGCCTGTGAGCCTGGCAGATGTTGCAGAGAAATGGAGAAGGCCCCGGGGTCTAGGATTCTGGCCTTTTCCACACTCACATCCTCAGAACCCGGACATATAAGTCAGGAGAGCGTCCTGCCCTTGATTCACGGGTGACCATTCAAGGACCTGCAGTCCTTCCTGAGTCAGAATGGGAAGCGTTGCCTAAGGGCGGTGTCTGTTGATTTTCTCAGGGAGCCTTTCCCTGGGGAGGCTTTCGCCATGGAATCCCCACAGACAGATCTCTTTCTTTAATTCCCCTCCAGCCTCTTGGCCCAGCTCAGTATGACTTCATAGCAGCAGTACAAGCTGATGCTGGCCCTCTTGAGGCCCTGAGGGCTGGGTTTTTTCTGTCAGCAGCCCTTGTGGGTCTAGGAGTTGAGATAAAAATCATGTCCTCAGCAGATCATGGGTGCTGCTTCATCTTTCAGGAAGTCTCGGCTTCGTCTTTCAGGAAGTCTCCCACTTTCTCTTGAGTGAGGGCTCCTGGAGGTGCTGAGGGGTGGTTCTGATGATGTTTCTTCTGCAACTTTTGACCTGGAGTATTGCAGAAAGTTCAAGGTGGATAGGAGTCAAAGTCAAAAGGACACAAACAGGTGGATTTTCAGATTCACACTCCGCCTGTGACACAGTTGTACAGATTTCAAAGCCCCTGTAATGGGGTGCATTTACATATCATTTGTGGTTGTTCTTACGTGTTTATGTTAATGTCTGTGTGTGTGTGCGTGTGCATGCACGCATGCTCAGTCGTGACCGACTGTGCAACACCACGGACTGTAGCCCACCAGGCTCCTCTGTCCATGGGATTTCCCAGGCAAGAACACTGGAGTGGGTTGCCGTTTCCTCCTCCAGATGTACAAATACAGATCCGTACCACTTATGTATTATTTGTGACACAGACTCACATGTCGACAGCAGACACTTTCACTTTTAGTTTTGGTGGCCTCTCAGCTTCCTGCCCGAGAAGCACCAGGTTTGTCATTTATCTGCTCTTGTTTCTCCTCCTCCTGATGATGTCACACGCCTGCTTCCTGGAAGAGGGCTGCAGTCTGTAATCCCGGGTAGTCACACCCTGACATGTGAGTGGCTTCTCCGGTGGTCCATAGGCTGCCATGGCAGTGAAAATCCGTGTGGACCTGTAGTCACTGTGTGTTTAATGTCACCCGGCGTTCTGCTCTCTTTTCAGATTGTGGCGCCTTGGTCCACAAAGGCTGCAGAGAAAGTCTGAGCTCCTGTGCAAAGGTCAAAATGAAGGTAAGACATTTCTGCCTGAACCAATGAAATCCTCAGAGTTGGGAGACTTGGGGTTAGAGTTTCTGTTTGTCTTTTCATCATCTGGTACCTCCTTTGAGACTGCAGTAACCCAAAACGTTTCATCTCTTCTTGACACACTCGGGAATTTGTGACTTTCGGAAGATGAAATGCTTTCAGAACTTGTCCACATTAGACACACATTTCGCTGTGACTGTCGTCTGTCACCAGTGCAGTGACTTTCTTCTTAACCATGTCTGCAGACCTGCCCCGCTCTGCACACTCCTGCGTTCCTCCTTGGGGACCCCGAGGGCAGCAGGTGGAAATCAGGAGTTCTGACGTGCTGACAGCCTGGGGAGGGCAGGGTTTTGAGCCAGCCTGCCCGGCATCCCTTTTCTCCACAGGCTCATATAGATCATACAACAAGAAGAGGAGTGGATGGTCGTCCACGCTCCGAGTGTGCACGTCACATAATAACACCCAGTGCACGTCAGAGGCCCTTGTAGAGTACGAGGCTGGGGGCAGATGGGCGTTTAGGTAGCCCGTGTAGTTTTTCAGTGTTTCAGTCACTCATAACTGTCTTTGTTCTTGTCAGAAGAGTGCTTTCCAACACCATCTACACGCACGCTCAGCGTGCTGTTTGCTTCCAGTAACCAAACATGTTTATCTAGTGAAGTGGCCTCAGACTTGAGAGTCATCTCGGTGGCTTGTTATAAAACGACACTGGGCCAGCGACCCACTCCCAGAATTTCTGATTCTGGGTGGGTGAGGCCAAGGAGTTTATCTTTCTAATAACTTCCCAAAAGATGTTGATGCTGCTGGTCTGAGGACTGCACTTTGAGAAGCACTGAACTAGTGTAAAGACGACAGGCTTCTGTACCCTGGGTCTTATTCAGCCCATGGACATAAATTTTGTCCAAGGGCTGGATTTTTCTTTTTTTCTACAGTATTTATCACCTTCTTGGGGCTTCCCTCGTGGCTCAGATGGTAAAGAAGTGGCCTGTAGTGTAGGAGACGTGGGTTCAATCCCTGGGTCAGGAAGATCCCCTGGAGAAGGGAATGCCAACCCACTCCAGTATTCTTGCCTGGAGAAGTCCATGGACAGAAGAGCCTGGCAGGCTATAGTCCATGGGGTCGTCAAGAGTCAGACGCAATTGAGTGACTAATGCAAAATATCACCTTCTTAGGGTCTGTGTATTTATTATATTTACTTTCTGTGGTCTGTACCTTCCCCCCACTAGAATGTATGTAAGCATCAAACTTGCCAGGCAGTCTGAAGTCAGGAGCGTTTGATCCGTTGGCAGCTCCTAAGCCCATAGAACAGAGTCTGGGCTGCGGGTCCTTAGATGCTGGAGGCGAATGGAGGTGACGGCCCACTGGGCGGAGTGGCTGCCGCCTCCTCCGGACAAGACGCGCAGGCCCAGGCTGCTGCCTGCCACCGCCTCCAGCTTGCCTCTGTTCTTGTCACCTGCCTGGCCCCTGGGCCTTTGAATTTGTGACTCTGGTACCAGCGTCTCATTGTGACCGTGCCAGAGAAGGACAGCAGCAGGAACATCGCCTGCTTGTGTGAAAGTCTCCTCCAAGAGGGGAGCCCCATTCTCAACAGGCCTTTTTCCACTGATGGTTTACCTCCGACGAACCGCTTCAACCCGGAGTTTTCCCACACGTTGTCTCTGTTCCACGCCACGAAAAGTCTTAAAATTAGCATTTTCCCTAAGAATTACTTAACACCTTATACATAAATGCTGGTCACTGGAGAGATGGAAATGGAAAGGGCACAGATGCTGCTTGTAAGGAACCAGCATTGTGGTGGGGACAATGGACCAGCAGACAGTGACCATAAATAAGGAAAGAACTAGCTGGGGCAGGGGGAGGGGGCATACGCACAGCATTCTGAGGGGTACGCACAGCATTCTGAGGGGTGCCAGTCACTGCCTCACGGGAGGAGAAGACGGAAGCTCACGGTGGCTCTGCCCCTGAGGTCTGACCTTGAAACAGGAGACTGCCTGGCCCGTGAAGGGAGAGAAGCGTTCCAGGCAGAGGAGACGGCTCTCGCAGAATTGCAGGCTGGGCAGGCTCAGGGCGACGGCCAGCATGGGTGGCCGTGTCTGAGAGTAGGACCCTGAGGGCCGTTGGCAGGAACAGGGGAGCGGCTGGCTTTGTGTTCTAGGCTTCTTGAGACTTGACAGAGATAAGTTGTAAAATTCATCAAAACTTGTGAAATTTATCGAAATTTCTTTTTCTTACAGCAACCCAAAGGGAACATGCAGGCACACGACACATCCTCGCTGCCCACAGTCATCATGAGAAGCAAGTGTGAGTAGTCCGCCCACCCCTCATGACCCCTCTTGGCCTCTCTGGTTCAGGACTTACACACACTTCTGTCGTGTCTGTCTGTTATTCTTAATCACGGTTGGAATACCTATTTTGTGGTAACTTAGAGAAGGCTGCAGTTTCGTTGACCAAAAGCTTGGCAGTCCACCATCAAACTCCCTGGAAGGTCTTAGAATTGTGTGTGTGGGGGGGGGGCTTACAAGGCTGCTCTTGAGCCTTGTTTATTTGAGCGAGTGACCCCCATGTTTTTTGAAACTCCTTTTCCATGAGTCAGCAGTGAAACTTGCTTTTAGTGCTCTCAACATCAAATGAGATCTTGCTTATTAAACTCCTTGACAGACTGCGAAATTATATAGTTTGGGAGTGGTTTTTTTTTTTTCTTTTTTTTTTTTCAAGGTCTTCAAGGGGTACATAGATTGAGCTCGTCACACTTTGTCACATCAGCCTGTCTTCTCCAGTCTGTGCAAAGCTCCACTTTGGTTTTGCTGAATGTTTTCCCCGTTTCATTCTCCATCTCACTCCTTTCCCCTCATTAGTACACACTGTGGTATATTTAATGCAGACCTCTCTAATTTGCCGTATCTTCAGACGTATGTGTACTTCTGAAAATATCTCTTACTGTTTTGTGTGTTGAATTTAAATTAGACAGTATGACTTATGCTTATCCATTCTGCTGCTGCTTTTCCCCTCAATATGGTTTTGAGATCTGCATGTGATATTATATGAAAGCTATCATCTCAAATTGCTGCGTGGTATTCTTTCAGAAACATATACCACATTTTAATTACCAGTTCCCCCCAAGACTTGAGTTGTCTCCACCCACTGCCATAAATAACGCAGTAATGAATACCACATTAATTAGCTCACAGAACCCAGTTGAAACTCGCCCCCAGGCTGTGTTTTTCAAGGCCTATTTCCTGGATCAATTACAAGTGCCAGTTTTGGGCCCTGCCCAGACCTACGACATCAGAGAGTCCAGGGGTGGAGTTGGGTGCCCTGTTTTGTAGACGCTCCAGGTGATGGTGATGTCCATGCTTGAGTGTGAGAGCCGCTGCCCCATGCCTGACTATTCTGAGCACTTCCAGATGGCTCAGAACGGCCACTCAGGCTGTGCTGCCAGTGAGGGTGTGGAGTCCTGTCAGACGGAAGTCTCGTTATTACCCATCTTTGCATGTAAATTCCTAGAGGAAAAGTTATGCCATACTGTCACCCACTGTAACCAGTGATCCAACCCATCCCAACACCTTTTACAAGCCCACTCTTACTTAAATTTTTTTTCTTGAGTCTATGACATTTATCTCTTCTTTCAGAAATCTGCTTTCTTTCAAATCAGATACAAGCAGTCTTCCCCAAAGCTTCCTATGATAGTACCTCCAACCCCCACGTGTGTTCTCATTCCCGTTTTACCCGCCAAGGTAAGGTAGCAGTAAGAGTCCAGGTGGTGGACTCAGATTGTGTGGGTGTGAGTCCTAGCACCCCACTTAACAAATTACTGGCCAGAGACGTATCAATGCGTCTTTCGTCACCTGAACATTACTGACTGGAGACTTTATTGGTATCCACCTACCTAACAAATTGCCAGCCACAAACGTTAGTTTCTGCAAAAATCCTCTAGTTAATAATGTGTTAGCAGCTGCATAACCTCAAGACGAACATTTACGGCTCCCCCCACCCCCCCATACCTCGTGTTCCTCCTCCGTGGAAGGATGTAGTGGTACCATCAGGCGATCATTGGGTTTAAGTGAGGTGACGCCCGTGAAGCCGTTGGTGCTGGGCCTGCCTCAGTGTGAACGTTCCCGCTGCCGTCGGCTTCGCGGGCGCGGATGCCGGGCTCAGAGACAGTGAGCAGCTTCCTTGAGCGGGGGTAGACTGGTTTCCAGCATTCCCAGAGCTCTCTCTCTCACCTCCCCCCACACCCACGCCGCCCTTAGATGCAGGTTGCTCTTGATAATCGTGAAGGCTCTGCGTGACCTGACTTGGTTCTGTTTCTCCAGCCATTGCCCCGATCCTGCATGTCCTCGCCCGGCCTGCCTCCTCACCTGCCTGTCATCTCCATTTCACGGTGGCACTGCGTGAGCATTTCTGCCTCCTTCAGACAGTCCTCCTCCTCAGAATGTCCTCTTTGTCTGTCTGCCCGGCCACGTCCTCACTTCAGGGACTTCCCCATTCAAGGACTGATGTTTCTCCCTCCACCTGATTTTTTTTTTTTTTAATAATTTTGTTTATTTTTGGCTCTGCTGGGTCTTGGTTCCTGCATGGGCTTTTCTCTACTTGGGGGAAGCAGGGGCGGCTCTCTAGTTGCGGTGCACAGGCTTCTCATGCGGAGGCTTTTCTTGTTGTGGAGCACAGGCTCTCGAGCACAAGTTGCAGCGCTTGGGCTTAGCTGTCCTGCAGCATGTGGGATCTTCCTGGACCAGGGATCAAACCCGTGTCTCCTGCAGTTGGCAGGCAGATCTGTACCACTGAGCCGCCAGGGCACTGCTCCTGCATCATATTTTATCTGCTCACCAGCTTCCTTCGGAGGCCCTGCGGTGTGCCCCAGCTCCCGCACACTAGAGCCTGTTTGCCTCTCTGCCTCTTGCCCTGCTTCCCTATTGGGCAACGCCCCCCATCTCCTGGTGTTCTGCATATTTCCTGCAAGAAGGGTCTGGTCATGCCCCCGTGCAGCAGGTTTCTGCTGATTGCATCACCTTCTTCTGAATAGAATCTGAGTGGTTTTATCCATTTTATTAAGTCAGGCACATCCGGTAAGACTGTGAAACTGTAACAGCTGCCCCAGTTATTTCCTTCAGCTCCTGACGCTCCCAGGGCTGGACGGGTAATGCTGCTCGCGTCTGGGACAGCAGCTTCGTTACCACGGAAAAATCATCTGCTACCCAGATGCCAGTGTGACTACTTGACCCAAAATCAGAGCTCCAGCGTCCTCCTCGGGCATGTGCAATGGCCATGAACTTGGGCATGCTCTGGGAGATGGTGAGGGACAGGGAGGCCTGGCATGCTGCAGCCCTTGGGGTCGTAAAGAGTCGGACGCGACTGAGTGACTCAACAGCACAAGAAATACTCAGTTATGAGGACAGATTAGCTGGGTGGCATCGAACACAGGTTGCATTTTCCTCCTCTGTAAATTAGAGGAATTGGTCAAAATCTGTGTTCTCAGACATGTATAGAAGAAATGATTGAGAAGCTGGTAAAAACGTCTTAGACCCCTAAGTCCCACCCACACATGACAGACAGGGCTGGGTATTTGTATAACTCAAAAGCCCCTCACACGAAAAACACTGGACTAGGTCATCTCTGAGGCTGCTTGTGTCCTTAAAATTCTTTCAATCTCCTTTTCTCTTTGAATTAGTTTAAATTTTTAAATATATGTACTTTCAGTGATTCTTTATCCTTACTGCCTCATTTCCATCACACTCCACAGGTAACTCCATTTCTTATGTTTATCTTCTCCAAGTTTCTTTCTTAAAATAAAGCAGATACCAATTTGGATTATTTATTGCTTTTAAAACACAGCAATGGTCTGTGGCACATGTTATTCTGCTCCTCGATTTTTTTTCCCCCTTAATGTGTTATCGTGCGGTTTTGTGTCAGTTCATGCAGGGTGTGCTCGTTTTTATTTTACAGCTTCGTAGTATCCACCAGTAGGATATACCATGATTTATTAACTGACCTTACTTTGGTAACTCATTTTGCTTTTACTGAACTTTGCACTGAGTACCTTTGGTCATATGCCATTCCGAGTGTAAACAAGTAAATCTTGTGGGATGAACATGTCCTGAAGGAAACCACTGGATCAATAGGTATAGGCATTCACAGTTTCAATAGCTGTTGCCACATTGACCTCCGCAGAGGTTTTGTCTCCAGTTACACTGCCAGGGTGGATCTCTTACAGAGCAGTCTGTTCCTGTCTGATACTTGTCGGGCGGGTCCGTGCTGGAGGGCCCAAGTCACTGACACTCCGTGGTGTCCTCTCATACTCTGCAGCCTCCCAGCCTAAGGAGCGCCCTCGGTCAGCCGTCCTCCTGGCCGATGAAACCACTGCTGCCCCCGTGTTTGCTAACAGACGGTCCCAGCAGAGCACCATGCTTTCCAAAAGCGTCTCCATTCAGAACATCGCTGGGTAAGTGGGGGTGTGGAGACGGCACAGTTGACATCTCGGCAACGAGAGCATCATATACCATTTGACAAAAAGATGCTCTTGGGAAAGAACATGTAACCTAACGAGTTGGCACACAGCTGAGTGATGCAGACAGGCAGGGTGAGGATTACATTGGATGCAGCCGTTCTCTAACAAGGATCCCCATTGAACACCATCTCAAGTAAGGTTTTGTCCATGATCAGTCCTGCCTTTAAAGAACCTGCCTTCTAAGAGGATGATTTTTAGGTCAAAATAAGAAGGGGAAATAGGAAAGGAAAAAAAAAAGTGATTTAATGCTGAATGTTGGGCTGCAACCACTTATATTTTTAGATGTCATACTTTTCCATTGGTCAGATGAACGTGGGAGGAGAGGGTAGTTTTGTTTTTCCTTCTTTTTGATTCTGTTCTCCATCCTTGTGTCTTGCCTCTCCAGTCACAGGAGTGAGTAACGGGCCGAGAATGACAGTAGGCTCCCAGCCCCTCCTCTGCGCTGAGCTCCTCTGTGGTCCGTGGGAGCTGCCGTGGCCCCTGGCTGTTCAGGCCCTGGCTGTGGGTGGTTAGCACAGGGCTGATTGTGATGTGGCTGGCTGTTGGGGGTCAGGTGCCTGCCTTCCCACCAAGTAAAGAAGTCACCTCAAATGTAGGGCTCAAAGTGTCCCTGGCAGCTCTCCTCACCCAGGCTGGAGGAAGATTCCCAGCTGAAGGATGCAAATCTCCTTTTGTCTGTGTGTCCTCACCTCTGTGCTGAATAACACTCCCTCCTCCTTAAAAAAAAAGAAGAAAAAAAATTCCAGGTATTTTTATATCATCTGCCTCAGTGGTGTGATTATATTCTTTTCAGAGTTGTTGAGTTAATCTCAGTTGGTTTATATTATGACTTTTAAAAGTTGGCCTTTAAACACAATTTAGTTTTAAGTGACTCTGGCTTACCTCTGTGCCATACCACAAACATAGTGGGTGCCTGATGTGCTAGCTGGGATTGAGAAAAGTCCAAAGAATATGGTTTAGCGTTAAGTGCTGGCTCTGTAGGTGTTTAGGGAACACAAGGGAAAGGTGTTGTGGTTAGACACGAGTTTCAAACAGAGAAATTTCATTTGTAATGTGTATGCAGTTTTAAAGAAGAGCATTCTTCTTATTACTTACGGTTTAAAATAAAACTGCAAGGTTCAAGAAGTTCACGGTTGCAGTGAACTTAAAGTGAATTTAAAAGCCTCTGACGCCCTTCATAGTTCATGTTGCACGTTGGCAGGAACCTGACATAAGTAATTTGCCTTCGACATTGTCATTTTATAGTTTTTCAAATCTCCACAAGCCATGGCTTCTCAGAATACACCTGACAGTATGTGTTTCCTTCTGTCCCTAGAGTTGGCAACGATGAGAACATCTCGAACACCTGGAAGTTCCTGTCCCACTCAACAGACTCGCTGAATAAAATCAGCAAGGTCAACGAGTCCACGGAGTCCCTTACGGATGAGGGTAAGCGGAGGCCACGGCCTGTGTGGCAGGCGTCTGCAGAGACTCTGCCGTTAGCTGGGATGCAGGCACCGACGAAGCAACGGTGCCTGCCTCCTGGCTCCTGTGACGCTTCTCTGAACTGCCTGTGCAGCGTCAGATGCTTTATAGTGAGCTGCTGAACCTGCCTACCCAGTTGCTGGGTACTCGCCCACTGAAGGACGCCATTGCGTTTAATGTGGTCAGTCTCTGCCGCAATCGCTGTTTCTTCCCCTAGACTTGCGTACACATTCAGTTCACACTTGTAAACCTACTCTCTTAAACAAGGAAAGTCACCAGGACCCTTCTAGCTCCTGCTTCACGAAGTAATCATGTCTTAATCACCTTTAATTTAAGTGACTTTTTCACCCTTAACCAAAGTCTTGAATATAGTATACATCACTCTCGAACAGAAAATGCTCCTTTCTAATAGAATATTTATATATTCTGTGAATATCACTGTCTTAGTGCAGAGTGCATAGTCTCATGAAGTTATCACCCCGAGGAATGTCCAGCATAGGTTTTTTTAGAAGTCACTGATGCAGGACTCTGACACCGATTTTTTCTTTTTTTTTTTTTTTTTTGAGGAGTAGGTACAGACATGAATGAAGGACAGCTAATGGGAGATTTTGAGACTGAGTCCAAACAGCTGGAAGCAGAGTCTTGGAGTCAGATCGTGGATAGCAAGTTTCTGAAACAGCACAAGAAAGATGTCGTCAAGCGGCAAGAAGTGATTTACGGTGAGACGCCTCACGTGCTCTGCTGAGATCTGATTCACGTAGTCTGGTGGGTGGTTTGTTGCACTATGGCAAGTTAGTTTTCAAGTATGTATTATAGCCATCTCCAAGATTTTCTTTAAAATGTTTGAGGTATAGAGACATTATCTTATTTCTGTCCTTCCCTCTCTCTGTAAAATGATCTTCTTGAATTTTATCAAACATTTTATTGAATATGAGTGCTTATTTATGCAGTATTCTTAGAGATCCCCTATGACAGCACAGTTGAATTCCTCAGCTGCAGTGGAAACTAGACTAAAATACAAGTCCTTTCTGGGAAATTGGAGCACAGTCAGTTATGGAAGGTCCTGAATCCCAGTGAAGATAACTTTGGAAACCACCATTTGAGAGGGATGGAGTCCAGTATGCCCGTCAGAAAGTAGTATGAGATCCTGTGAAAAACAGGAACAGGATGAAAACTCTTCAGGGAAGAGGCAGCTCTTGACCCAGCCTTAAAGTTTAAGTTGGACCATAAGCAGCCTTTAGACAGGCCTGGGCTCTCAGGAGCAGGGGAATCGGCAAGGGGGGCGTCCCTGACAGTCCAGCCCTGTCGCCCCCCAGAGTTGATGCAGACAGAGTTCCACCACCTCCGCACCCTCAAGATCATGAGTGACGTCTACAGCCGGGGCATGATGGCCGACCTGCTCTTCGAGCAGCAGATGGTGGAGAAGCTGTTCCCCTGCTTGGATGAACTCATCAGTATCCACAGCCAGTTCTTCCAGCGCATCCTTGAGCGGAAGAAGGACTCCCTGGTAGATAAAAGCGAGAAGAACTTTCTCATCAAGAGGATCGGGGACGTGCTTGTGCAGCAGGTGAGCGGGAGCAGGGCCCCGGGCACTTCTCGCTCACACAGACAGACAGACAGACAGACAGACACACCCAAACACACACACACACACAGGCAGACAGACACACACCCCCAAACACACACACACACACACACACACACATGCGCGCGCGCACAGGGGGCTGGTAGCCGTGTGTGCTCGTCCCGGCTGAACTGCCTGTGATCCCTGTGAGCTTGGGCAGGTGGTTCCATGTCTCCAGCCCTCAGTTTTCCTTTTCTGAGATTGGGGACAGTAGGTTTTCTCTTCTAATGCAGTTTTAAAACTTAAAAGCCATGCATATATAAAGCGCCCAGTGTACATGCTAGGTGTGCCATAAAAGTCACCTTTCCTTGCTTTTGGGGGGTGCTGGCTTTGTGGTCGCTTAGAACGTCTCTGCTTCCAGCTTCTCTGTGGTCGGGGTGGGGAAGGAAAGGCTCCCATGAAGCTCTGGGGTGAGGATCACGTGCTGACCAGAGACTTAGTCCAGCAGGGATGGCTGCTAGCGTGTGCTGCAGGGACCACTTGCAGAAACTCGGCGGCCGCCCTGCGGTGAGCACAGCTTCAGATGAGGTAGCACATGCGTGGGGATGGTGGAAGGGCCACGCAGAACTGTTGGGACCACTGGCCCGAGCTAAGTAGGATAAATAGCCCTGGTTACCATGGCTGTTTCTGATGGCTTTCTGACTTACCAAGGTGACATTCTTAAGATGGCTTCTTCATGAAAGACTTCTAGTGAGTCCCTTCCTTTTATTGCTATTTTTATGACAGATGGGAGTTAGAACACGTTTTGCGCAGCGCATGGCTACTTCTGTGTTTATTATTTCTAAACATCCGTATCAGCTTTACTGACATATAAGTCATTAGCCGTGTGATCCGCCCATGTAAATTGTGCTGTTCAGTGGTGTTTAGTATATCCATGGATTTGAGCAGCCGTCACCAGGGCCAGTCATAGAGCATTTTTATTGTTATCACCCACACCCACTTCCCCGACTTCCCCAGCCCTAAGCAACCACTGATGTACTTTCTCTCTGGATTTGCCTGTTCTGGACATTGTATATAAATGGAATAAAACAGTATGTTGTCCTTAGTGATTGGACTTTTCATGTGTAAGTACCACATTTTATCCGTTTATGATTAGTTCCCCTTGGTTGAGGGCTGTTGTGAACAACGCTGCTGGGAACATTCATATGCATGTTTTTGTGTGGACATGTTTTTATGGCCAGGAGTGGAACTGCTGGGTCATATGGTGACTGTGTGTTTAACTTCTTGAGGAACTGCCTGTCTTCCAAAGCTCCTGCACCATTTCACTCTTCTAGGGGAAGTTATGAGGAAGATCCCCTGGAGGAGGAAATGGCAGCCCACTCCAGTATTCTAGTCTGGAGAATCCCACGGACAGAGGAGCCTGGCAGGCTGCAGTCTGTGGGGTTGCAGAGAGTCAGGCATGATTGAGCCACCAAGCATGAGCACAATGAGGAAGCCCTCCTGGGTTAAACACACAGCCTGGACCCTTGGCACACAGTGGTAACACGAGTTTAGCGCCCTGAGTGGTGGCGTAACCCCTGCTCACTTTCCTCCACAGTTCTCGGGGGAGAATGCCGAACGCTTAAAGAAGACATACGGCAAGTTTTGTGGGCAGCACAACCAGTCTGTGAACTACTTCAAAGACCTCCACACCAAAGACAAGCGCTTTCAGGCCTTCGTGAAGGTAGTGACGTGAAACGTGGAATTCCCCACCATTGCCCAGAGCCTGGTGTCCCTGTGAGGTTTAGCCTGAGCCTTCCCCTCTGGGTATTTCCTAACATTCAGTCTCCTCCCTTGTAGAAGAAGATGAGTAGCTCGGTCGTTCGGAGGCTGGGAATCCCCGAGTGCATATTGCTTGTAACCCAGCGGATCACCAAATACCCGGTTTTGTTCCAGAGAATGCTGCAGTGTACCAAAGGTGAGTCTCTCTCTTGAATCAGTCTTACCTGCCAGTGGCCTGTTCCCTGTCTGTCCAGCAGAGGCACTGTAGAAGGACTCTTCCACGTCAAGGAGGACTAAAAGAGAAGCCTGTGTTTTCTCTTAAAAATGGTTTTCTCGAGTGCAAACGTGAGATGTCACGTCACCAGCCTTAGAGTGAATGAGAGCGAGAAGGGGAGGAACCGCTAGGTGATCCCAGCCAAGAGCTCAGTGGCCCGAAGAGCTTGGCATGTGTCCCCCTACTGGGAGAGGACACGCCCACCTCGCCTGCAAGTGCAGGGATCGCGACTGGTTCTCAGTTAATCAGTGCCTCTTGTTCTTCTCTCTGCTGCTCCTGTTCCGCCAGTTACATTAAGGATTGGCTGAAACAAAGACATAGGTTAAAAAACCAGAGGCACCTCTCCCTCCCTAAAGATGTTGGATTCCTACCACTTTAGAAGGTAGCTTGTGGGACTTCCCTGGTGGTCCAGGGGCTAAGACTCCTCCCTCCCAGTGTAGGGGGCCCAAGTTTGATCCCTGGTTAGAGAACTAGATCCCACATGCGTCAGCTAAAGGTCCCAACTAAGACCTGGTGCAGCCAAATAAGTATTTATACATCTATGTATGTGTATACGGGGCTTCCCTGATGACTCAGATGGTAAAGAATCCACCTGAAACGCGAGACACCTGGGTTCGATCCCTGGATGAGCAAGATCCCCTGGAGAAGGGCATGGCAACACACTCCAGTATCCTTGCCTGGAGAATCCCGTGGACAGAGGAGCCTGGCAGGCTACAGTCCATGGGGTCGCAGAGTCAGACAGGACTGAGCGACTAAGCACAGCACATATGTGTATATATAGAGAGAACGTAGCTCGTGAGTCCACGTCGTCTGTCCCACTGAAATGCCTAACCTTATTTAAACACTGACCGAGCGGGAGGTCGGCACGTGGCTGCAGCGTGTTGGCCTCGCTCTGCCCATGTGCCCGCAGAGCACGGACCGTGCCGGGGAGCACGGACCATGCCGGGGGGCACGGAGGCAGGGCGCCCTCCTCCGGCCCCGTCTGGACCGAGCGCTCCTCTTCTCCTCAGACAACGAGGCGGAGCAGCAGGACCTGACACAGTCCTTGGGCCTGGTGAAGGAAGTGATCAGCGCCGTGGACAGCAAGGTGGCAAGTTATGAAAAGAAGGTCCGTCTGAACGAGATCTACACGAAGACCGACAGCAAGTCGATCATGAGGATGAAGAGCGGCCAGATGTTCGCCAAGGAGGACCTGAGGCGGAAGAAGCTGGTGCGGGACGGGAGCGTGTTTCTGAAGAGCGCGACCGGGAGGCTGAAAGGTGAGCCCGCTCGCGCCTGACGCTCCGCGCACTCCAGAGGGAGCGGGCAGGGCACAGGTGGCCCAGACCACTGCTGGGACCCTCGTCCAGGCGTTCCCCGGGAGCAGCCGCCGTCCAGTCCTCAGTCTTTTCAGAAAGGCCTGGGCTGAGGTGGCTCGCAAGCCACATCGAGCACAGTAAGGCAACAAGGATCTGGTGCAGTCGGGGGCGTGAGAAGATTTTTAAAGAGCAAAGAGTCAGCATCATACTCAGATGCGAGCTCTTAAGGCAGATGTAGTCTCCCATGAGAGACGGGTGGCAAATTTGGGGTTGGGGTCTCTGGCAAAACCACTGCCAGGAGGGATGCACCATCAGTTGCACCATTCATAGGTTCTCTGAGGTTAAAAATACATCATCAGTTGTTCCAAAGAAATGTTAGAGGATTCTCAGTTCCTGAGACCTCAGAGAAATGTTTAACTCACAACTCGACTTATTATTAAACTTTGTTGTTCGTATCTTTTATTTTTCTCTAAGAAAATGAGATCATGAAGGATACTCATTTCCTGGTTGATCTTAGTTTTGTTTTTTTTTAAATGATCAGCCCCATCAAGTTAAGGAAGTTAGGAGGTCTGTTCATTCATCTGTGCATCTGGTCTGTTGGGTTTTTTGTTTTGTTTCTTTAATAATTTTCCTCATCAAACCCATATCCTCTGGGCCTGTCTGGTAACTCTAACCTCACCAGTAGCCTTGAGTACCCCCAGCCTGCCTCCCTGGCCTCAGTGAGCTGAGCACACAAAGCCGCCCCATTGGCAAAAAAAAAACCTCAGGAGTGAACTGGCCACGGGGTTGGTGATGCCGCAGGCTGCCGACAACGCCCAAGCGTCCTTAGCCTGCTCGGGTCTCCCCCTGCTCAGAGCGAGGCATGAAGGTGGATGACACAGGACACCCTGCTTAGAGGTTGGGCTCGGACTGCAGAGACGTTTAAAGAGGTTCTTGCCCTGCAGTGTGATGGCTGCTGGAACAGAGGTGTGAACTGGGGACGAGGAGAGGGGCCTTCGAGTCACGTTTTGAAGGATGGAGAGGAGGCAGCGTGAGAGCTCAGACCCTGGGAGGGGCAGGCGGGCAGGCAGCGGAGCGAGGCAGGAAGTACAACCAAAGCATGAGTCGGGACCGGCTGGGGGTGGATACGAGCTCCGGGGGTGGCAGGGGCTCACTACAGAGGGTGTGAGCAGGGCAGGGGTGGATCCAAGTGTGGGCGGTGCAGGGCTGCATAGGGCCGAGAAGCCCAGGGGGACCGCCGACTGAGCTGAGGACAGTCCCTGGTGCGGGGACCTGGGGGAGGGTCCTCGAGGCAGGGTCACTTCAGAGGGAAGAAACACCCCTTCCGGCCCCAGCCAGCTCTGCATCTCCCTACTCCATGGTGAATTGCATGGTCCCCAGGGCTCCCTGTGACACCCTGAGGCCACAGCCGGGGGCTCTGGCCTCCCCGCTGCCACCTGGTCGTGAAGTGCCGGTCCTCTTGTGAGAGCAGGCTTCCTAGAGAGGCCACTGCCTGGAGCCAGCGCTGTGTTCCTTCTCTACACAGCAATTGATTCATTCGTTCCCGAAATAAAAAATAATCGGTTCCAGCTGTTGGAATGAAGTCGTGGTCCAAGCAGTGGCAGAATGATAGGCCCAAAACGTCTCCAGCGGTGAGAGGAGTTGGTTTCTAGTCATTTCCCCCCGCAGTGAACTTGTGCCAAGGACAGCCAGTCCTGTGTCAAGTAACCCTTGCAAGGGGGTGGGATTGTTTTTCTCTGATCTGCTGACACTGATCACATAAACTTCAGGATCAAAACTGAAGTTGAAACTTAATGTGTTGGGACCTTTTTTATTTATTTATTTTTGGCAGACACCTGAACTAGGTAAAAGTAAACTTTAAAAAAAACTAAGTTGTCAAAACTAATGGTAGTGCATGGAAAATTACTGTGGTCTGTGCTGAAAACTAGACCTCCCCAGGACTCCAGCCTGCTTGCTTCTGTTCCTCGTAGCTTTGCCATGAATTACACAGGGGGGCACCCCCGTCTTGGCAGAAGTGGTGGAAAAGTCCGGGAGGGGCCTGACCACCCAGGAGGGGGCTGCAGAAGTCAGCCTTTTGTTTTCTCCAGGGAGTCATAGGCGCCCCAGCCCCTTTCCTGGCTGAAGGTGGTGCCGACAGGGGCCAGCCCGTGAGGTCTCAGTCGACGACTCGCCTCCACGTCCCGCTTTGTCCTTAACTTAGTGCTGGGAAATGTCAGTGCATACTCTTCGAGAATTAGAGCAACTGTTGGTGGCATTCTTTTGATTTCTGGATCCAACTAGAGATGTTATTTTTCATTTATTTATTTATTTTGAACACCAAAAACATTTTGTATTGGTATATAGCCAATTAACAGTGTTGGAACAGGTGTTTCAGGTGGACAGCAAAGGGATTCAACCTTACATGTATCCATTCTTTTCCAAACCCCCTCCCATCCAGACTGGCACATCGCATTGAGCAGAGTTCCCTGTGCTAGACAGCAAGTCCATGTTGGTTATTCATTGTAAATAGAGCGGTGTATGCATGACCTTCCTAACTGTCCGTTGTTCCCCCTGCCCCGCACCCCCACCCCTGGCAAGCGTAACCAGCTAGAGATGTTAATTTGCCTCTGGTTGCGTCTCAGTTGAGAAGAGCAGGCCGTCTCCGTGGCACGGAGAGGTTGAGGTTGCTGGCGCCTTGTTGGGCTGAGCAGAGCGTGGTGCTCCATGTACCTGAGAAGGCCTGGGTGTTGGGAGGCCCCCTTGTCCTCCAGGGCCTGTGGAGGAAGCCTGCCTTTGATGATTAGGCTGAGATAGGCCTCTGCATCACCTCCTGGTAGCCTTCTGTCTGCTGCCCCACGCCTTTCCCCTTACTGTGATCTGAAGCCGAGAAACACCGTGACCAAGAGTATTTTGTGGAATGTGTTGCTGTAGTCCTGCTTCCCAACTTTTATGCTTTAAAACCTTGCCTTGTGGGATCCGTCTTTCCAGCACTGAGTGCTCAGACCTTTCCAGAACAGGGTTTTTGGTGATCAATCCCATTTCAAAATGCCTCTGAAAATTCTACTGGCCAGATGTGGACCCTGCAGAAGTGTCAGACCCTTGCCTGGGAGGAGCGTGATGAAGTGCAGTGTGGGTGAGCTGCTGGGTCATCATCTGGTCGGGTGCCCTGGAGGTGCTTCCCTGCTCACTGATGGAGTGATCGTGGTTCTCTCTCCTCTCCCCGCTCTGCAGAGGTTCAGGCGGTCCTATTGACTGACATCTTGGTCTTCCTTCAAGAAAAAGACCAGAAGTACGTCTTTGCGTCATTGGTAAGCTGAGCTGCTCACCTCTGCTGTTTGTAATTAACAGTGTTCACAACCGTGAGGGTCGGTGGTGAGTATAGTTCAGTGTTATTGCTCAGTCACCCTCTCAACACTGACCCAGGGCAGATTCCTCTGGGTCATTTCTCACATAGCCTTGCAGTTTTCTGCCCACCTTCCTCCCCCCAGTTATTTTTCTGCTCCCTCAGAAGCCTTCTGAGAGCCTTCGGCATTTGATCCAAAAAGAAATCTGTCATTGTAGTATTTCTCATGTATTATGTCTTACAAATCATTCCCCCTTATAACCTTGCCAACCAGACTCTATGACAAAAACCAGAAAGGACTCGAACCTTGATAGCCTTGAATTTTTGTTTCCTTTTTGGAAATTTTCTGTTGGGTAAAATGCAGTGAAATAACGAGCTATTTGGTTTTTCTCCTAAATCTGCCATTGTTTGTTAAGCCATATGCTTTTTTTTTTTTTAATTGGAGAGAAAAGCAAGGTATCATGTATTAACCCATATATTTGGAATCCAAAAGAATGGTACTGATGAACCTGTCTCAGGGCAGGAATAGAGATGCAGATGTAGAGAACGGACTTGTGGACACAGCGGGAGAAGCGGAGGGTGGGATGCATTGAGAGAGCAGCCCTGGCATATATACACCTCCGTGTGTAAGCCACAGGCTCTTCAAGGGCATCTAGTCCATCCTGAGATGGAAGCTGTCTTAAGAGTTGGGTTGTTGCATCCACATCTTTCTAGCTACGCTCTCCCCCACTTTCCAGGACCAGAAATCAACAGTGATTTCCCTGAAGAAGCTGATTGTGAGGGAAGTAGCGCACGAGGAGAAAGGCTTGTTCCTCATCAGTATGGGGATGAAGGACCCGGAGATGGTGGAAGTCCACGCCAGCTCCAAGGAGGAGCGCAACAGCTGGATTCAGATCATCCAGGACACGATCAACACCCTGTGAGTCTCAGCCCACCCTCCGGGATCGCGTGATGGACGGGCCGCCGTCAGGGTGACAGACCTCTGAGTGACGTGCTGTTCTGTTGTGGTTGTGTCAGGAACCGAGATGAAGATGAAGGAATTCCTAGTGAGAACGAGGAAGAAAAGAAGATGTTGGACACCAAGGCCCGGGAGTTAAAAGGTGAAGCTCCTGGAAGCGGCCCAAGGGCCTGTCAGGGCAGTGGGGTGCGAGGGGAAGCGGGTGCCGTCACACAGAACCCCTGCAGGTTTTCAGTCGATCCCAGAGCCGGCCAGAGAAAAGAGAAGCCAGGTCAGAGCCGACACAGGTCCCTGTACAGTGAGTGTGGCCCGGGGGGACGAGTCTGACACCAGATTGTGGGATGTTGCTTCTCTGTCTCGGGGTCAGTGTCCGTGGGCCCTGGGGACAGGCTCGGTACTTTGTCCCGGAAGAAGTTGCTGGAATTCACAGGCACATCTGAGATTAAAACAGAAAGGAGAGAAGAAAGGTGCTTGAGGGAAAGAATTTCCCAGTTAATCCGTTTATCGGTCACCGCTGCCACGGTGCCCTGCGTTCCAAGGGTGTCACTTAGGGCGAAGTGTGCTTCTGGCTGAGGTTGGACCACTGTCTGTCGAGGCCTGCTGTCCCGTGCGATCTCATCTCCGCCCCTGCAAGGCTCTACTCTAAGCAGTGAGAAAGCTGGGCCCGCCACAGCGGAGCAGCCCGGGGCCTCGAGCCCCATCCCTGCAGAGCCGGGCTCTGCTGTCTGCCTAGCCGCTCGTGTGACTTTCCCTTTGGTGCTACTGAGTGTTCTGAAAGAAGCGTGTGTGGTGCTCTGGAGAGAAGTAAGGCCCAGAGTCAAGTACATGTAGGCTCCCGAGGTGTTCAGTTCATTCTCTTTCAACAGTGAGAGGGAAAAAAAAAAAGATGGACAGATTTAGACTGGAGCCAGTGTCTCGTTGTTATCTCTTCCTGTGAGTAGGATGGCAGAGAGGAGAACCGCTTGTTTTTAATTGAAGGATAATTGCTTTACAGTATCGTGTTGGTTTTCTGCCATGTACATGAGCATGAAGGGAACAGCCTTCTCTTCACATGCCTGATGCACCTGGCCAGGCACTGTGCTCGGGGCTGGAGATGCAGTGATTCCTGACCTGGAGCCCCTGCCGTGAGGGAGACCTACATAGATGACAGGCCCTGCGGACCCCAGCCACATAGAGAGTGTGTGGGACCCGGGAATCCTGCCTGTAGTCAGTCTCACAGAGAAACTGACCCGTGACGCTACATCTGGGGAAAAAAACTCACCAGATGAAGAACAGTTAGGTGGAAAATGAAAAAGGAATGAAGGTCTAGTGTGTCTGGGAGTCAGGGCTGAGTGATGGGAGACCAAGCCTGGAAGCCACCACATGTTGAAGTTCAAACAGGGACTGATACAGTTTTTTAGCAAAATGTAAACAAGTTTTTTAAATCAGTATTGATGCCAGTTGGGAGAATTGCTTGCAGGCACTGGGAGAGCCCAGTAGGAGTGGGAACGCCAACTGGGGGAGTCTCCGAAGTTGGGTGAGAAGTGGGCTTGGAGGCAGGGTGGAGGCGAGTGAGAAATGGGGAACCGCTGGGGGTGGTGGGACAGAGTGTGGAGAAAAACCTCCCCCAGCTCTCCAGCCTGGGTATCAGGGGGGTGAAGGTGCTGTTGACTGAGGAAGAGGCCGGGGCTCCAGGGAGGAGGTGGGTGGGGTGGGGGCAGGAGCAGAGAACAGAGGCTTCTGACCTGCAGAGAACTAGGCGTCTCAGTGGAGATGCCACTTGACAATGAGACTCAGCAGTCTGGTGCCCGAAAAGTGAGTAGGACTTGGGTACCTTGTGTGAGTTAATGGGCTTCCCTGGTGGATCAGACAGTAGAGAATCTGCCTGCAATGTGGAAGACTCAGGTTTGAGTCGGGAAGATCCCCAGAGAAGGGAATGACAGTCCACTCCATCCTGTGGACAGAGGAGCCTGACGGGCTACAGTCCATGGAGTCGCAGAGTCGGCCACGACTGAGCGACTAACACTCTGAGTTGTCAGCCCGTGAGCGGTAACTGAAGCTGTGGGGGTGAATGAGATCCCCCAGAAGGAAGTGTGTAAGGTGTGGAGAGCAGTCGGGGGGTGGGTGGCGGGGGACCAAGCCTGTGCAGGTCTGTAACGTGCCAGAGACAGCGTGGGAGGAAGAGAGCCGGCCTAGCAGTGTCTGAGGGCCCGGGGCGGGGAACAGGTTTCCTTGGCACTGGAGAAGAGGAGACGGAAGGCTTGATTGGATGCAGGCGTGAAAGGTCCCCTTGGAGAGAGCAGAGCCAGGGAAGAGTGCAGGGGCTGAGCAATGAACAGGGCGATGGGAGAGTGGGACACAGCGCACACTTGCTACATCGGAAATTCCCAAGTTTGCTTCAAAAGACCCAGGATAGTTTTCCAAGTAGACATGACGGATGAAAAAACGGATACTGCCCTCAGAGTGAAACAGGAAGGGGGCGTGGGGGAAGCTGTGTTCCTTGTTGTCCCGGGCGTTGCCACGAGGTGGCGTACGTGTCTCAGTCATCGCCTCTCGCTGACCTGTCAGATGACCAGATCCCTTCTCCAAACGCCCGCAGAGCAACTTCAGCAAAAGGACCAGCAGATCCTGCTCCTGCTGGAAGAGAAGGAGATGATTTTCCGGGACATGACTGAGTGCAGCACGCCCTTGCCAGAGGACAGCTCCCCAACCCACAGCTGTAGAACCCTCTTCCGCTCCAACACAGAAGAGGCTCTCAAAGGAGGACCTTTAATGAAAAGTGCAATAAATGAAGGTAATTTACATTCAGCATCGCCACCCCCAACCCCCGCCACAGTGGTTTGCACGCTAGCATTATCTACCGGTGAGTACTTTTTTTCGTTGTAAAATGAAGCACAAAATACAGAAAACAACCCAAAATGTGTTTTGCTTCAGTAAATTATTATCAAGTGAGCATCCTTATAACTATTTCCCAGGTCAAGAAATAAAATGTGGCCAGATCCCTAAAAGCCTTTCCACATCTCCTGTCCCCATCACAGCTCTCTCCTTCCCTCCCACAAGGCACAGGTATTATGACTTTTAGAGTAATGACTTAGGTTTCTTGATGGTTTTATGTGGCCATGTAAAATCATATATGTGGTTTTAGGCATGTTTGTAGACACTGTGATTTAGTTGTGTCTGTGGTTTTTGATACTCATTTTTAAGGTTCTTCATTTACAGTCCTCCACCTGCCCCACCATCCCTTTCTTTTCCACACAGGTTATCCGTGAGCTTTTTGGCCTGCAGGGTTCTCTTTTTGGACTTTATTCATGCAGTGGTTCTGTTCTTCTGCCTTTTGTTTCCTTCAGATGCTCAGCTGGGTTTGGGGGCTCAATTGCTCAGAGGTGAAACCCCTTTGGCAGGCTGTGTTCCTGTAGTGTTTCATCTGGAGCCACAAACTGTCTAGTTGTCTTTTTTATTATTTTTTGTAACATATAGGAGAAGCAAGATAAAAGGATAAATCTTTTTTTCCCCCTATTATTTACCAGTTTTCAAAATAGTGAACTGACTTATGGTCATATTCTGAAAGTGACCAGTACTGTTAAAATATTATTATAGACTCATGGATTTAAATATATCTGATGGGCTTTGAGCCATTGCAGTTCTTATCCTTATTGAGGTTTCAAAGGGCCTCCCTCTCTGCCAACGTGCACCTTTTCATGTTGCCTCTGAACCCTTTTGACATGACCCCAGCAGTCTTTGAGAGCCGCTTTGCTGTTTGCTCTGTTAAGATGTTCCGGGCTCATCTTGTTTTCTGCACATGTCTGGCATTAGCCTTTCTCTGAGAAGCTGTGGTTTCTTCTAGTGGGAAATGATGTCTCACGACCACTATCTAGGTGCTGGGGGTGGTTGTCACTGCTGGGCTTTTCACTGTTAGTAGGTTGGGCCTTGTCAGTGGACCTCTTGAGTGGAAATGTGTATGTGGGGGGTGGTAATGAATTACACTGGTATGTATTTAGTTCAGCTTGTGAACTATGGTGTTTTTACTTGCGTGCTCAGCTGTGTCTGGCTCATTGTGACCCCATGGACTGTAGCCTTCCCGGCCCCCCGTCCATGGGATTGTCCTGGCAAGAATACTGGTGTGGGTTTCTGTTCCTCCTTCATGGGATCTTCCCAACCCAGGGATCAAACCTGTGTCTCCTACATTGGCAGGTGGATTCTTTACCACTGAGCCACCTGGGAAGCCCTGTTTCTACTTTATCTCTTCTGTATTACACCTGTATCTCTTTTCTTCCCTATTGTGAATCCTCATTCTTAAGAATACATTATAGAAATAAAGTATCCTATATTTACCCTAACACACAGGTACTAATATTACTATCACTAAATAGGACTCTTGCATGCTATGCCCTCCTGTCCCCCCGTTTGATCAGTGGTACTTTGTCTACACTGTCAGCTTCCAACCATTGTGTGTGACACTCCCCTTTTTAGACCTGTAGTCTTCGTTCTGCAGGGGTCACCACCAGTTCTCATCAGCGACCCTCCAGTCATTTTGGATGTCTGAAGCTTACTCTTTAGTTCCTCCGAAAGATTCATGAGGATAATACCCGCCAAGTCCTTGCATACTGGTGATAACTTGTGCCTTTATACTGGAAAGTCTGTTCTACTGGGTGTAAAATCCTTGGTTCCCAATTTCTTCAAGTACCCTAATTCTCAAATGTGTTACTCATTTTTCTCTGACGTAAAACATTTCAGAGTCCAGTCATAATTTGATTTCCCCCATATGTAAGTCACATGCTCTTCACCTTGACGCCCACAGGATTCTTTTCCCTAGATCCAGGTTGTTTTACTAGAGTGTGCCTTGGTGACAGTGATTCTGGAATGATGTTCTCAGGTTTACAGTGTTCGATTTTGATTTATAGTCGCAAACTTTTCAGATTTCAGAGATGTGTTCTTATAGCTCTCAGTGTTTTTCTTGTGCACTTGCTTTGATTTTCTTCCTCAAGAACTCCCACTATCCATATTATTGGATCACCTTTGCCTGTCTTCAGCACTTCTTGCTTTCCAAGAGTGCTTTTTTTAATATCTTCATCTTTTTAACATGTAAATATATCCTTTCACCTTCTGTTTTCTTAAGTCATTTTCTGTTGGGTTTACTTGCTCTCAGATTCTAGTTTAGTTTTCAGAAAGGGGTATTTTTTTTGTTTCTAGTTATTTGAGTTTTGCCACCTCCCTTCTGTGTCTCTTCACTCTGACTAGGTTCTTCCAAATCTTGAGTGTTTTTTTCAAACCTCGTTAGCTCACTCACTTTACGGACATGTCCTTCTGATGTGCTTTTATTATGTGTAGGGCAGCTGCACCCCTTTCTCTTTCTCTCTCTTTTTTCTTAACTTTGTGTGGGGTTTGACTTTGATATTTTCCTGTCACTCATTTTCGTTTAAAAATTCCAATCCCAAAGAAAGGCAATGCCAAGGGATGTTCAAACTGCCGTACAACTGCACTCATCTCACACACTAGCAAAGTCATACTAAAAATTCTCCAAGCGAAGCTTCAATAGTATGTGAACCGAGAACTTCCAGATGTTCAAGCTGGATGTAGAAAATGCAGAGGAACCAGAGATCAAATTGCCAACATCTGTTGGATCATCGAAAAAGCAAGAGTTCCAGAAAAAGATCCACTTTATTGATACTGACTACACCAAAGCCGTTGACTGTGTGGATCACAGCAAACTCTGGAAAATTCTTAAAGAGATGGGAGCACCAGACCACCTGACCTGCCTCCGGAGAAATCTGTATGCAGGTCAAGGAGCAACAGTTAGAACTGGATGTAGAACAATGGACTGGTTCCAGATTGGGAAAGGAGCACATCAAGGCTGTGTATTGTCACCCTGCTCTTTTAACTTATATGCAGAGTGCATCATGAGAAACACTGGGCTGGAGGAAGCCCAAGCTGGAATCAAGATTGCCGGGAGAAATATCAATAACCTCAGATATGCAGATGACACCACCTTATGGCAGAAAGCAAAGAAGAACTAAAGAGGCTCTTGATGAAAGAGGAGAGTGAAAAAGTTAGCTTAAAGCTCAACATTCAGAAAACTAAGATCATGGCATCCGGTCTCATCCCTTCATGGCAAATAGATGGGGAAGCAGTGGAAACAGTGACAGACTTTATTTTCTTGGGCTCCAAAATCACCGTATATGGTGACTACAGCCATGAAATGAAAAGACGCTTGCTCCTTGGCAGAAAAACTATGACCAACCTAGACAACATATTAAAAAGCAGAGACATTACTTTGCCAACAAAGATCCATCTAGTCAAAGCTATGGTTTTTCCAGTAGTCATGTTTGGATGTAAGAGTTGGAGTATAAAGAAAGCTGAGTGCCGAAGAATTGATGCTTTTGAACTGTGGTGTTGGAGAAGACTCTTGAGAGTCCCTTGAACTGCAAGGAGATCAGACCAGTCCATCCTAAAGGAAATTAGTTCTGAATATTCATTGGAAGGACTGATGCTGAAGCTGAAACTCCAGTGCTTTGGCCACCTGATGTGAAGAACTGACTCATCTGAAAAGACCCTGATGCTGGGAGGGATTGGGGGCAGGAGGAGAAGGGGAAGACAGAGAATGAGATGGTTGGATAGCATCACTGACTCGATGGACATGAGTTTGAGTAAACGCTGGGAGTTGGTGATGGACAGGGAAGCCTGGCATGCTGCAGTCCATGGGGTCACAAAGAGTCAGACAGAACTGAGTGACTGAACTGAACTGAAACTTTTAGGCTCAGATAGGTTTTTTCACTTCATGGACTCTTCTATTGTTCTCCTGCAGTGTTTTTAGAAGATGACTGTGACTTTTCTTAGGAGATTCCTGGCCTCTCTTCTCTTCCCTTTTTCCACATGGACCTTCTTTTTCCTTCATCTCTCCTGCTCGATTTCTACTCCATGTTCAGCTCTTTCTCCTTTCTATGGGACACTGCTGCTCTAGAAGAGAACCGTGGCTGGTCGGGGTTGATAATTCAGATGCTCAGACTTCCCTATCCCCCTGACCTCACTACAGGGAGGGCAGAAAGCCTGCCACTTTGCACTGCTGTTCTCAAACTGGCACACCTCACTTCCTGGGGATTTCTTTTTGGCTATTTCTGGTCTGACTGCAGGAGCCGTGCTCCTTCCAGTAAATTACTCTGCCTTCCCTGTATTGTGTTCACTCAGTCGTGTCCAACTCTTTGTGACCTTTTGGACTGTAGCCTGCCAGGCTCCTCTGTCCATGGGGTTTTTCAGGCACGGATACTGAAGTGGGCTGCCATTTCCTTCTCCAGCCTTTCCTGTACCCTTTCTACATTTCCTAGATCTCACGTGAATAAGGCTGGAGGTTTAATCTGTGCATTTCCAACAGATTCCAACTACAACACCTGTCCTTAGCTGAGAGCTTTCTGTGAGCAAAGGAAGTCTCGAGGTCTACTTTGGATTTTCTGATCATCTTCCCGGAGCATATAATGTGTTAATCAGGAGATTTTCTTTTTTCCATTGCAAGAGGATATGTCAATGTTTCCTGTTTCCTCTCTTCCAGTGGAGATCCTGCAGGGTCTGGTGAGCGGCAGCCTAAGAGGCTCTCTTGGGCAGGTCGTCAGCAGCCCCTCGGAGCAGGAGGGCGTGGTCGGCCCCGTGTCCCTGCCCCGGAGAGCGGAGACCTTTGGAGGGTTTGACAGCCATCAGATGAACGCTTCAAAAGGTCAGTGGGGTGGGGGTGGTGTTTTTGATTTAACTGTATTTATTTATTTTTGGCTCTTCTAGGTCTTTGTCGCTGCACCGGCTTTTCTCTAGTTGCAGTGAGCTGGGGCTACCGTCTGGCTTTGGTGTGTGGGTTTCTCACTGTGGTTTCTACGGAGCACCGGCTCTAGGGCGCGCGGGCTTGGTAGTTGCAGCACACGGGCTTAGTTGCCCCGCAGCATGCGGGATCTTCCCGGATCAGGGATCGAACCCGAGTCTGTTGCGCTAGCAGGTGGATTCCTGGCAGAGAAGCCCCCAGGTCAGCGGTTTTGAGCTCATGTGCTCTTCTTCTGGGCAGTTGTTCACCATCACAGCGAAAAACCATCTGTGCTCCACCGCCTCTGTCCCGCTTAGATGGTGAAGGTTTTAGTGAGGTCCTAAGTATCCAGCTGCTGGAACTCAGGGACCTCCATCTGCGTTGAGTTCATTTTGAGTAATAAGAGGTTTTCCTGGGATCTCAGCTAAGCTATAGCAAAAGGGGTAATGAGACTGGTTTTTTCCTTTCTGCTCCTAGTTCTTTTGTTTAATAATCATGTGGCTGCCCTTCTACTGGCATTACCAGGATTCAGAAGTATTTTGAACCTAAGCTGTGTATATAGTATTTTCTTGGCTAATCTGTTTTGCAACTTGAAAAAATACTTGTTTGTTTGTTTGTGTAGGAGGTGAGAAGGAGGAGGGAGACGATGGCCAGGACCTCAGGAGGACCGAGTCGGACAGTGGTCTGAAAAAGGTATTTCTTCCTAAGAGACGCTCCCTCCCTCCGTCCTCCTGGGCCCTTCTTCTAAGCTCATCATCTTGAAATTAGTCCACTGTGATTGTGTTTTGGACGCCCAGTTTGCCCTGTTTATGTCCTACATAATCTTGGGAGGAAAGCACTTTTCTAAACAAACAGCACCGTTCTGAGCCCCGTGTTCTTAGCTGTCGGGCCTCTCTGGTTCTGGACATCACGTTCCAGCACACAGCTCTGCCGGCTGGACTGGTTTCACTGAGAGCCTTGTTTAAACACACACAACCCCCACCTGAACTCATTGCAAGGCTTCCGCAACAGTTCAGCCTCACCTCTTCACTGCCCTAATGTAGAAAAGAATGAACATGGCACGTCACAGCATAACTTAGACACACACTGAATATAAATTTTGCCTCAATCTTCATTTTTTTTACATGCACTTTTTATTATTTTATAGGGTGGAAATGCTAACCTGGTATTTATGCTTAAAAGAAACAGTGAGGTAAGAACACTATGAGCTCTTTAAAGGAGTATGATTTTGTTGTAGTTGCTCGGTTGAGCCTGTTCATTTCTGCTTTGCTGTATTGAGCAAACTGTGCTGTCGTCGGCCCCAGGGCATTGTCCTGGCGGTTTTTTGCCAGAAAATCGCTGCCTCCTAAACCAGCCTCTCCTCCTCTGTCCCTGAGCAGCCCCTTGCTTTCTTTGAACGTGGGCCGTGAAGCTCCCACCGTGGCTTCTGTCCATCCATGCACGCTGAGCAGAATTTGTCGCCAGGTTGGCTCTAACTTTAACCTGGCACCAAAAGCTGCAGTGTGAAGCGTGACAGAGGAACTTGTGAGTGATTCTGCACAGTGACTCTCAAGTTGAGTTTTCTTCTCTGAGCACTGCTTCTGACTCCATTTGTCACTCTAAAAATTAGCCCAGGCGTCCCCTGGCTAGAGATCAGGTTCCCTGCCTTCCACTGACCCTGTAGGGTAACCCAGGTCTTTCACCGTCTCCCCGTCTCCTTGGGTTCCTCTGAGGAAATCCTCCTTGAAGGCTCCAAGCTCAGTTGAGTCTGCACGTGTGACACTGTCAGCAGGCTGGAGCTAGACCCGGGACAGGGAGGGGCGAGGGTATACCTCTCAGGTCGTGCTCTCTGCTTCTCCTGCTTTTCATAGAACACCTTAAAATCCCGGAGGGGTTTCGTTTCAGAATTTCAGATGCAGGGAATCGCTCCTTTTTCCCCTGAAACACAGAAGCTGTTTGTCTTCTGTGTTGGCCTGTTAGTCTGCACACTGTGACACATTGAAGAACCCCCTTCAGTGAATGAAGTAAACCTGCTCTCACACAGACTGTCCCACTCGTGTGCTGCTTAAAGACAGCCCTTTAGTTGTTTTTTCCACTTGCCACCTCCCCCGCGCCCCACCCCACGCTGAGTGAGAAGAGCTGGGTAAGAGGTCTAGGAGACCAGTGGCTTCCAGGCATTCCGCACGACCGCACACTCAGGTGCTCAGCCAGAGTCAGCTGGCTGGCTGGGCCTTCTCCTCTCTGTTAATTAAGAATAAACGTAAGTGAGGGCCTGAAGGTATTCTCCGAAGAGCTAAGCCTGCTAATTAAGTTTTTGTGTTTTCAACTAAGATAAAAGGAATACATGTTCGTGGAAGAAGATTGGAAAAACATCCAATAATGTAAAACAGGAAAACAAGTAAATATCCTACCACTGAGAAATAGCTGCTATTATTAAATGTGTGGTGTTCTATTTTCAGCCTTTTCTTCCACAGGACATGTATTTATGTGTCTAAGTTTATGTGAGTGTGAATTGCATAAAAATAGTTTTGCACGGTTTGTTTCAATACTCCCTGGAACTTCATATCCTGCTTTTTTTTCTCTTAACCCTCGAGAAGCATTTTCCTGAGACGTTTGTACAAAACATGCTATTTAACAGCTGTATATTATTATGCTAGTTGCCATAATTTAATCTTTCCAATGGTCAATTCTTTCTCTGCTTTTTTGCTTTGTAAATGATGCAGCCAAGAGCATCCTCATACTTTTTTTTTTTTTTTTTGCAAGGCTATGATAATTTCCTCCACATGCCATCCTCTTCCTAGAAAGGTTATACTGCACTCAACCCTGTCAGTACAAGAGGATTCATCCATTCTCATCATGCTTTCATCAACACTGGGAATTCTTTTTTAATTGACATTTTGTTGGCTTGATAATTTCAAGTAGTTATTTCATTTTTGCATTTTTGTGACCAAATCATTTTTAATCATTTTTAATATGTTTAAAGGTTGAATCATTTTTAATATGTTACATATTCGGCCATTTGTATTTCTTCTTTTGTAAATTGCAGGTTTATGTTCCTTGCCTGTTTTTCTACTAGAATGTTTTTGACTTTGCTTATGAATCTGAGAGCCTTGCTGGGGTCTGAGCTGACGGCTTGTTGATTCCTTTTGCAGCAGGTCATCCAGAGCGTCGTCCATCTCCACGAGCTCCTCAGCACTCTGCAGGTACGTGCCTTTTCTCCTTTGTCCCTTCACTTCCTAGCTGAGAGGGAGACCGACAAGGATGTGGCTGGCCTGGATCTTTGAGGTTTATACATATCTTATGGGTAAATACAGCCCTCAGACGAGAGACTGGCTATCATGATGAGGAAGATTCCAAAATGCAGTGGTTAAGGTCCCCTGGCAGAGGGAATGGCAACCTACTCCAGTATTCTTGCCTGGAGAACTCCATGGACAAAAGAGGCTGGTGGGCTTAGTCCTTGGGGTCAGAAAGAGACATGACCGAGCAACTTACACTACACTACAGAGTCTCACTGATCTTCTAAGGCTAGAGTTGCCGAGCAGATGGTGGATGGCAGGTACCCAGAGCACAGTTAACAGCTGTGCCCCAGAGCGCAGGGGGTGCGGGCCTTCACAGAGGAGATGCTTCCAGTCTGGACGGCCTTTGTAGGTGTCCGACTTTTTGCACCAGTGGTAAAGAACACCCGCCTGTCAGTGCAGGAGACATAAGAGACCAGGGTCAATCCCTGAGTCGGGAAGATCCCCTGGAGAAGGAAATGGCTACCCATTCCAGTATTCTTGCCTGGAGAATCCCATGGACAAAGGAGCCTGGCAGGCTCCAGTCCATGGAGTTGCAGAGAGTGGGACACGACTGAGCACACATTCACACACAGTATCCTCAAATTCGGGTCCCTTCCTTTCTTAAAGATCTGACCAATCCAGTTCATAACTCCTCCCACCTCCAAAGGCACACTCCACCCCAGACAAGGCTGCTGACTGCAAAATTGAAGTCTTGGCACCATTGACCTTCCCACTTGGTTGCTGCCCAGGGTTATCCTAAAGTACTTTCCCCAGAGCAGCTTAGAAAGCAGGGGAGGGCGCCAGCCATGCTCCAGGCGGGCTAGGCACACGGTCCCCTCTTGTGGGCATCCTTCACCCTCGTGCTCATCACCCCCTAGTGCCCATCGCCCCCTCGTGCATCTTCCCGCAGGGCGTGGTGCTGCAGCAGGACAGCTACATCGAGGACCAGAAGCTGCTGCTGAGCGAGCGGGCACTCACGCGGACGGCGTCGCGGCCCAGCTCTCTCATCGAGCAGGAGAAGCAGCGCAGCCTGGAGAAGCAGCGCCAGGACCTGGCCAACCTGCAGCGGCAGCAGGCGCAGCACCTGGAGGAGAAGCGGCGGCACGAGCGCGAGTGGGAGGCCCGCGAGAGGGCGCTGACGGAGCGCGAGGCGCGCCTGGCGCAGCGCGAGGACGAGCTGCGGCGCGGCCGCCAGGACCTGGAGCACGAGCGCGACGGGCTGCAGCAGCGCAAGGCCGCCTACCAGGGCGACCTGGAGCGCCTGCGCGCCGCCCAGCGGCTGCTCGAGCGCGAGCAGGAGCAGCTCCGGCGGGACTCGGAGCGGCTCAGCCAGGTGCTGGCGCGGGCCCTGGGGCCCTGACGGCTTCGCGGGCGGGGTGTGGGGGCGGAGGGAGGCCCGGCAGGGCGTGGGTGTGCGTACCTACGGCTGATCAGCATTGTGGTGCAGCAGAAACTAACCGCATGCTAAAGCAGTTATCCTCCAATTAAAACATCCCCCTCAGTGTGCCCAGCATGGAGGAGAGTAGGCAGATAGAATATTCAGTGTACAAAGGCCGATTTTATAGAATCTGTTTGTGCGTCCCCAGGGGGCAGGTGAGGACGTGAGTCTTTTTCTCCTTTTTGTCTCTAAGGGGTTGAGACCTGCATGTAAGTTTGGAGTTTGGCCAGGCCAGTGAAGGGGGGTACCTGGCCCTTGCCCTCGGCCTGGCCAGTTTAGGCTGGGGTAGCCTCAGTGTCTGTGAGGGTGGCGGTCAGCCATCCAGGATTTGGGGAGCAACCCCTCTGTGCCACGTGAGGAATCAGAACCTAAAGGACCTTGTAGCTGAACAGGGAGAACGCACTGCAGGCAGCAGGCAGCCGGTGCCTGAGCTCGGCAAGCAATGAGGGCTCTCATGCCCGGCTCAGTGAGAGAGCGCACGCGTGGGGCAAGTGGGCATCAGCTCCAGGGACGGGCCCAGCCCATCTGGGCTCTGCTTCATCCCGATGCGTCTCGCCACTGTGGATGAAGCCTTTTGCTGCAGCCGCTGCTGATTCAGGAAGGCCTTCCACCTGTGGGGAGCACACCGCCCCCCGAGTTTGTTTCAGTGGTAGTCCCTGGCGCTTCTAGAGCAGGAAGCCAGAGCCTCCTGGGTGTCTTGATACCCATGTTGCCATGCATTTGCTCAATTGACCTTCAACAGTGAAGGAAAAGGACCCCGACATCTTCCAGAGGTGTGGCAGTTAGGCTTCGTGCAGAGGTTTCCAGGTGTGTAGGGGGGCAGCCAGGGGCCGGGCCGTGCTTCGTGTGATGCAAGAATGGGTTCCCCAGGGAAGACTTCCCAGAGAACACAGAGTCTCTCTCTTTGATCTTCAGTTTGACCTTTGACCAGGATCTTGATGTAAGCACATCTCCACCTGCTGTCTAACCTAAACAGACCTCTCTAATCTCTCAGCCCTGAAATAATTATCCACTCCTGCATGTAAGTCAGTCACTGGATAAGCAGCTCTTCCTGCCTCTCCAGGGGATGGGAATTGTGAGCTGCCTTATTGAAGGTGCTGTTCATTCATTACAGTGCTAATAATAGAAGTAGTCAGGGTATAAAGATGGTCATTTAGCACTTCCGCAGATACTACAGGGGGTGGGGAACGGAACTGAGAAGTTCAGGGTATTTCAGCTTCTCGAGAGTCCAAGGCAGTGAGTGCACACGGGGCTGACACGCCAGCATCCCCAGTGACCTTGTGCAGTGTTCCCTGAGCAGTCACTGAGGACGCTGCCGGTCCCCCAGGTGACATCCCTTCTCTCCACCATGTACAGGTTTCGTATCAAAACACCAAGCTGCTGCGGATCCCATCCTTCTCTCCGAACCCCGAGGAGACCCCCTCGCCACCTGCACCTTCAATAGCCAAATCAGGGTCATTGGACTCAGAACTCTCGGTGTCCCCCAAAAGGAACAGCATGTCTCGGACACACAAAGAGAAGGGGCCTTTTCACATGCTGGGTTCCGCCAGCCAGACAAACAGGGCGCCAGAGGCTCAGAGCCAGACCCCAGTGTCCACGTCCACGTCCACCCGCCTGTTCGGGTTAGCTAAGCCAAAGGAAAAGAAGGAGAAAAAGAAGAAGGGCAAAGGAAGCCGCTCACAGCCTGGGGGTGAGTCACACACCAGGTCCCCCCTGGCCGCGCCGCCCCTGGGGGCTTTAGCAGCACAGGAGGGGTCAAAAAGAGGTGCCTGCCTTTCAGGCGTGTAGAAGCTGACCCGCATACGTCTCACCAAACCCACTGGTTCTGCCCACAGAGGGCTGTTGGAGCTTACACTGAGAACTGACATTCAGGGAGCCTTTAGGAAGCCACTCTGCGTGGCGTGTGTGCAGAGTAGAGCACGGGCTCCTTTCTCACACTCACTGTCCAGACGAGGAGCGGAAACTCAGCGACGCAGTTACAGTCCTCCCTGCCTTGCGGCCTGCTCCAGTAATAAGCTGCTTCAGTGGAAAGCTGAATTTGTTGCAATCTCATAAGATTCTTAACCAGTCACTAACTTTTTTGTTTAAAGACACAAGTTGAGATACTTGTATAAAGAAATTTCTACTGTAAAGGAGGATCACTTTTTATTAAAGATTCTATATAGTCTCATGCAAGTACTTTCCCTTACCATGTAAACATATTTAAACGTAAAAGATGCAGATTGCTTATGTGCTATTGTAAAGTTTAAAGGTTTACATAGCATTTCAAAAAGCAATAACACTGACACGGTTTTCTCAAAGACCCAGGGGAAAAAAGAAAAATAATGTACTAATAGGTGCTTGGTGATCCTTTTCCGAGGGCAGCTTTAATCCTGCAGGAGATACAAGGCCGGTGTTTTTGAGCCCAGACACCCAGGAACCCTGCAGCTCAGGGTTAGCTGAGTGCCTGCCAGTGCTGGGCACACGATCAGACCACACGACACAAGGTTGAGTCCTTCTCATCAGGATTGGCTTCCCCCTTCTGTGCGGGAGGGTGTAGAGAAATCCCAGTTTCCAGGCTTTGTCTTCTGTCGAGTTCAAGGATCTGTAGACACAAGGGACATCATTGAGGACCTCATTCACTATATCAGTGAGCGGGGCACCACAGCAGAAGTCATCGCCCACCTGCCCAGCATCTGTTTGCATCCTGGAGGACTTGTGTTTAGGGAAGACAGGACAGAATTTACCAATGAAAAGAGCAGTTTTGTCTGAATTTCTTTTTCCCTCTTGGCTTCCTTTTTCCAGATGGCCCTGCTTCGGAGGTACCCGCTGAGGGGGAGGAGATTTTCTGCTGACCGGTCCCGCTGCTGTCCTGTACGGTGACCGTTCACCCCCGCCATCCTGTGCGCACTGCCCCCCACCGACGCCCGTGCCTGGCAGCCCTCCCCGCTGCCCCGGGGCCTGGGCCCGAGGGACACACGGTCCTGGGGGTCAGGGTGGGGAAGGAGGCCCAGGATTGCAACCCAACCGCTGGCCAGCCCTGCTGAGGTCACATTACAATGAGGATAGTGGCCCCGGAAGTCCAGGGGATGGTTGTGACATGTCAGGAATGCCTCAAGGCCGAGAGGGTGTTTGCGAATGTGGTCTGAAGCTCTGGGACAGAACCAAAAATCAAACCGCAGGTAGTTTGCACTTCATCTGAATGCATATAGTACCCATCTGTATAGACACGTGGAATACCACGGACCGTGAATCGTCTGCACCAGACGCCTGGCGGGCTCAGCTCAGCTCTGCTCGAGGGCGCTACCCCACCACCACTCGGGGGGGTGTGCTCTGAGTCTCATCCAGCATTCCCCCCGGGCTGTCTCCTGGCAAACCTACCCGTGCACACTTCACACCCACTGCTGTGTGTATTTCTCACTCAGAAGGGACGGCAAACAGTTGTGAATACCAGTGAAAGAAGGCTGGATGTCTCTAAAAAGCAAATGATCCTGAAACACCTTGATTTTGGTGTTTCAGTCACTTTGGGGGAAAAAAAAAAGTAATGTCATCAGATCTAAAAGAAATCCTATATTGGCTTTCCAAGATGTTTGCTCATGGATTCTGGGCACAGATGAAGTGGAGAGGTTACCTCCCCTTCACCCCTGCAGAGTGACACTTTCCGGTCATCACTGGCCATTCGCATGTGACCGCGACCCCCTGGCTGTCCCCCTAGGGCCTCGCAGTGGCTCCCTAGGGAAGCTGTTCTTGCCTGCGCCCCCGCCAGGGGAAAGGGTGGCCCCCCGGCGCTCCTCTGCCTGCCCTGGGGCCACCTGCCTCTTCCTCCGGGGTGGGGTGACCGCCCTATCCTAGGCAATTGGCTGAAAAGCAGGTGCAGGTAGGCGCGTTGGGGGTATGAAGTGGTTCCCCCCAGTTCAGACCAGGAGACAAGCTGGTCCCGAAGGTATGGCCTGGAAGGGTCTCCTTCTGTCAGGAGGCCGGGCACAATTTTGATTTCTCCAAGTTTTACAGTCTAAAGTTCTGATGGTTATTATATTCTGTCCCTTGAAGATGCCACAAGTGCTGTCTGCATGTTCTTTTTCCTTCTCTCTCTTTTTCTGTGTTTCCATCTAGTCCTGGAGGCTCGTCACCAGCCGGCCGGTGCAGTGCTTCCCCGTGAGGCCCCCGCACCTGCCACGCTTGTTACCTGCCTCGTGGTGGGGGGAGACCCTGGAAAATTCTGTGCTTCCTATGTGGCCTTTGATTCCTGCCTTTCGCCCCTCAGGAGCATAGGTCTTTGAACTTAACCTTTCTAAAAACAAACAGATCTGTACCTTGGTGCTTGTTGATGAATTGCAAGCTGGCCTTGCAGATGGAGATATCTATCTTTCAGTTTATTTGAAAGAGGTCTGGTTTAAAAGTTTTAGCTTTAGATTTGTTTTATTTATTTGTGTGCCGGGTGCGTGTGTGTTTGTGTCCGTGTGTGTGTGTATGTGCGTGTGTGTTAAGGGTGAACACACCAGCTCAATGGTTTTGACTGTGTCCGGTCAGGCAGCCTGCGCTGCATCCTCCTCCAGGTCTGTCAAAGTGCCTTGAAGGCCCAAAGGAAAATTAAGGATGGCGGGTGAAGTCCCTTTGCTTCCCTCCTCCCACCCCAACCTCATTCTTTGACCAAGAGAGGTCTTCTTCCTTGCTTGAGAGTTAAAAAAAACTTGCCACCCATGGGCTCCATGTGCCTCATTTTTATCACGGCAAACTCTTACCCTTCAGAAATGCGTTGAGAACCAGCTGATCTTCTACTGAACCTCGATATGCGCCCCCATCCCCATCCCCTAACCAAAGACCCTGAACATTGGAAGGTTAGGTTGTCTCCGCTGCCGATCCCTGCAGCTCCGAGGATGGCTGGCCTGCCGTGGCCTTGCTTAGACCCCGGGGAGCTCGGCGCTCCGTCCTTGTCACTGGTTCGGGGTCCCCGTCCCGCAGAGAGCGGCTCTGCTGGAAGAAGGGCCGGTGAACGGGGACCTGCGTCCTCCCGGCGTGCGTGCAGGCCCAGCGCCCCGGCTCTGGGCGTGAAGCCGGCGCTCGGGGCTGGCGGCCTTGCCCTCACACAGGCTCTGCACCAGAGGCGCCCGGACGGCTTCTGGCCTGGGTTTCAGTTTCGAAGTGTCCTTCATTCCCACCTAGTTGTGAAGTTGAGGTTGCCTTGGCTGTTTGGTGGTAGTTTTCTGAAACGATTAGCCCTCCGCCTGCACCCCACAACTTAAAAAATAACCTGGTCGGGTTGTGCTTGGACAGGTTTCAAATCTGAATCCGAGGGCGTCTCCCCCGACCCAGACCTGTGCTTCTCTGTGCCTTGGCCCCCCTCCCCGTCTGGTGTGGGGTTTGGGGAGCCACCTAGGGTTCCTGTTGCTCCTGCTTTTGCTTCAGACCTCGAAGCCGCCTCCGACCTCGAGGCCTGACCTGGTTGCTGCGGTTTCTTTCCTGTGAGAAGGGGCTGCCTCTCCGGGTGACTCAGACTCAGCTCTCCGCAGCGTCTGAAGGCGAGCTTCTCAGCTTAGGGAATCAGGGGCCTGACCTCCCTTGTGTTTAGGTTTTGGGGAGCAGATGGAGACGCCACCCAGGGTCCCCAGGTTCCCAGAATCTCGTGAGTTCACCTGGAAGGAGGCTGCGCCTTCTCTCAGGACTCCCGTCATCTCAGCGGTCGCTATCCTAGTCTGGCGACGGGCGACGTGTGCACTTTAAACGCTCCCCACGGTTGGCTCCAACGCGACAATCCGCTGGTGACTGTTTTCTTTGAAAACGGAGAGGCGTAAGAGCAGCCCAGTTGCCTCACTCAGCCTTTACCAACATCCCCCTCTCCGCCACGAGAGCTGTCTGTGGGAAGGAGCTCCCTAACGAGGTTTCGGTTTTTATTTGGAAAGGTACGAACCTACCTTTTATCCTCTCGCGTCTCAGGGTAATACCACTAAAAGCTGTTCTTTGCGGACATTCTCCTGTTACTTGCTGTCTTCCCAAGCCCCTAGTTTCAGCAGTAGGGAGCACACGCTGTAAGACCCTTGGGGTTTGTTGCCCCTTTGTTTGGAGGGTGGGTGTTAGTGTGTAGGAGTTGATAAACAGGCCCCACCTTAGCTAAAAGGTAGCACCATTAGCCTTAGGGCCAGACCTCCAACCCGGAAGGTGTGGTTCACAGAAGTACTCTGTAATTCATTCATCAGACCCCAAGGTTCTTTTTTCCACAGCCAGTTCTTGCTCCCGAGGATCTGTTGTCAGCTTGGAGCTGTGGGTGTTGATGCAGCGTTGATGGGGGGCCTGGTGTGTCCTGTGGACGACCAGGCCCAGGGGCTGGTGCGGGGGGGAAGTTGGGAGAAACGGACTGGACAGTGGGCTTCCGCAGCCTATAAAGAGGGTGGTTCGGACGGGACCCCAGCCACTGCCGAGGGCTCTGGACATGCTTGGACTGCAGACGCCCAGAAAGAACCCTCCGTGTCGCGGTGGCGGGGACCAAGGCACAGTGCCCGCCATCCCGCAGCAGGGCCATGGGACATGCTCACCGGCGGCCCCGGGTCACAGCTCCATCTGGCGCCGCTGCTCCGACCTACCCTCAGAGACAAGAAGGCCAGGGGTTCGTTTTGGTTGGCTTCTTCATTTTCTTTCTTGCAGTGTAGCGTAACATTCCTAGTTAACCAGCGCTTTGAAATCTACTGCCTGCTGGCCAGGTTTTAAGACAAGAAGTCTTTCAGTGCTGCCATAAGAGGGAAAAAGACAAAAAAAAACACAAAGGCTTCTTTCCATGTACCAATCAAATTTAATTTGTCAGAAGCTTAGCTGGCCTTGAGTTCCTTCTCCATCTTGCGAAGGTTTAATTAAAGACGGGCAGACCCAGCTGGCTGACGTGTCTCCTGCCGCAGACAGCGGCCGCCTGCTCCGGACCCCCGGGTCGCGCCGAGCCTCTGCTCACCCCGCCCTCCACCGCCCAGGCCGCCCCGGGCTCCGGGGCTCTGATGGGCCACCGCCGTCACCGTTCCGTCTGAGGTTCCCGGCGTGTCACCCCACCTGCCACGCAGGACACCCCAGGATGTGCAGGAGGGCGGTTCCCAGACACCTGATACCTCTGCTGTCCTTTCGTCGTTTTCAGATGCTAAATGGACATTTCTGTGCATTTATTTCTATTAAATAAAGAGGGGTTAAAACCCAGATGCTGTATATTAATTTGTAATTATGTATAAAGTAAAAGCAGTTTTAAACTGTAAAGGTTGTTGTTTTCTTTTTTTTTTTTTTTTTTTTTTTCAGTGTGTTTCCTGGAATTTTGCCACAACATACTGGCTTTGTATTTTATTTATCTTCCTTTCTAGTTATCAGCTTCAGACCCTTGTAAAGCCCCCCTCCACCTTCCAAAAATAATAATAATAATAATAAATGTCCTTTAAGTCTCGATGGTGACTCTGATTTATTCCTGTCGGGGTGGGTCTCCTGGAGTGAGTCCCAGGGTACTCCGGTTCCCGGTGAAGGGCCCGCCCCACTCCTGGCTGAGTGAGCCTTCAACCCAGTGAAGCCTTATTTCTATACCTTCGGGAAGGACCGCCCCAGAGCACAAAGCGATTCCTGGGGAGCTCAAGTCCTCCAGAGCCAGACCCTAGCCTGGAGGCTCCAGGAGTCAGAACCATTTCCCGTCAGATAAGTGTGGTGAGAAACTTCCTTGTTACAGATTTTGCTGCTGTAGATCCTACTATGTAAAAAGGATGAATGTCAGTTTACCTCTCTCTGCTGACTTTTTTCCAGCCCGTCCCACCCCCAAACAAGGCAATTGCCAAAAAAACGAATTCAGGGAGAAGAATCTCGTTTGCATGTAGCTCCTCACGGATTTACTGTGTCTGGTCCTCAGAAATTGCTGGAATGCACGGTAGGATCTGTTCTTCCTAACCCTAACCCGCCTGCAGGTGCCTGTGCTGCTCTTCCTGCATTGCTGGTGCCTCCCGGAGCCGGGCCTGCCCTGCTGTCCCAGCGAGAGGCCCCTGGGTGCAGCTGGTCACCCAGTGTGATGCGGAAAACAGAATCAGCCCGGATTCCCAGCTCTCTGCTCCCAAGCTCCCCGCCCCTCCCCACGCAGCGACGGCCAACAAGAAGGAAGTCCTGCCGGCTTGCCAAGCGCCTTCTCTCGTTCCTTCTAAAGAGTCCTGCAGCCCTGGCAATAGCTGCCGCCCCAGAAGCCAGGGAACAGTGGTCCCTTCTCTCCGCCACCCTCCCTTGGCCGTCAGGGCAGCTGCGGCGTCTGGACGCCCCCAGCAGGGTGGGAGAGTGGTTCCCACGGCCCCCGCCGACTCCTAGCTTGGGTCTGAGCCAAGGACAGGCTCCCGTCGCTTGGGAGGCAGGAGAGGGGAGGAGGCACCATCCTTTGTTCCAGGAGAAGCCAGAGGCACAAAGCTGGGCGGGCTCCGGCGCAGGGTCCCCGCCTGCTCCTGAAGGAGAAGGGGCCACTTCTGCCCAAGGACCCGCACCCCACTCAAAGGGAAACCCAGCCGTGCACCCAGGAAGCGAGTGTGCTTACTGATGCTGCAGGACAGAGACACAGTCATGAACAAAGCCAGCGAGCCGGAGGAGAGCCTGCTGGGCAGGGAGGAACAGGCCCCGGTTTTGTTACCTCCTTGGAACCGGGAATAGAAGCAGATCTGAGGTCAAAAAGAGGATCAGAGTAGCTTCCCTGGTGGCTCAGTGGTCAAGAATCCGCCTGCCAACACAGGAGACGCGGGTTCGTCCTGTCCCTGGTCTGGGAAGATCCCACCTGCCGCGGAGCAACCAGTGAGCCCGCGTGCCCCGAACATTGAGCCTGCGCTCTAGAGCCTGGGGACCGCGACTGCTGAGCCCACGTGCCACAGCGGCTGGAGCCCATTTTTGCCTGGAGCCCGTGCTCCACAAGAAAAGCCAGGGCAGTAAGTGCGCGCAGTGCACCTCCACTCACCACAACCAGAGCCAGCCTCTGCAGCTACGAAGACCCAGCACAGCCAAAAACTTTCATTAAAACTCCGAAAGTTCCCTCTGTCACCACATTCCTGGCTCGGCCTGGGGCCACGGCCACCTTCCCAGCAAGTCCCCCTGCCTCCCCAGCCACCCAGCCCGTTCCAGACTTCTTGGGAGATTCCTTCTTCTTGGGCTTCCCTGGTGGCTGGGTGAAGAATCTTCCTGCAGTGCAGGAGAAGCGGGTTGGATCCCTGGGTTGGGCAAATGCCCCTGGAGAAGGGGAGGGCCACTCACCCCGGTATTCTTGCTTGGAGAATTTGCGCACCTCCCTCCCAGGACCACCCCGCCCCCCCGCATTCCTTCAGTGGCCTCAGGTCACGGCCAGAAGGTGACCCGGAGGTGGCAGAACGATCCAGGTGGACCTCGTCCTCCTCGGGGGCCCTGAGAGGAGTCCGCAGTGGACAGGGGTGGAAGCCGGTGCACCCCAGACTTGGCGGCTGTGGGCCCCACCAGCCTGCCAAGTCCTTCAGTGTCCCAGTTAACCCGGGCTGTCCCCAGGTCCCTCTGGACTCTTGTCATCACTTCCTCACATGGCTGCGAACAGTCCCACTCAGGTTTGGGCTGCTCCTCCCTCCAGCCACCTTGAGAGACTTCCTTTCTTCCTGGGAAAGCATCCCTGGACCCTAAGGGGAGGGGAGAGGGACCCGAGAAAGGGAAGGGCCTTGAGTGGCGGGACTCGGGGCGAGGGAGCGGCAGGCCGGCTCTGCAGGGCCTCCGAGAACCAGCCTGCTTCTGTCTGCCTCTGTCAGCCCATCCCCTCCAGGGCCTTGAATTTCCCACCCCACCCCCACAGCCTCAGCAGTGGAGCTGGGCGGTTGCCTGGACAACCGGGCCCCCAGTCTGGGGGCGTCTGCATCCAGGGAATGGGGGCCCCAGTCACCTGAAACAATGCTCTTTCCACCCGCAGGAGCCTGGCAGCTGCGAGGAGCTGGGGACGGGGCCAGGCTGGGGTCCAGCAAGCACCATTGAGGGGACGTGGACAGAGTCTGGGGGCCACAGGGTGAGTGGGAGAACCACAGACTGCAGAGTCTGGGCTCAACACCCAGTCTCGCCATCTGATGGCCGAATAACCTGGGACAAGTTACTGGTCCTGTCTGCCCCCGTTCCCTCCTCCATGCGGCAGCAGCCAGGGTGCCGCTCACAGACTTGCTGTGACGATTCCACAAGAGGTTAGATGCTGGTCCCCAGGCCTGGTGCCTGAGCCCTGAGCTGTCACCCGTGGCTGCAGGAGGAGCCTGTCCCAGCAGCTGCTGCACCGGAATCCCGTCCCCACCCCTGTCTCCACATCTGAAGGTGAGCACCCGGCGGCAGAGACCACCTTCCCATCACCCGGCCCTGGCGCCCTGCGCAGGGTGTGGCTCAGTGCTCCTGTCTCTGGGCTTCTGGTTTGGAACACCTGTCCCCCCTTCCGTCATTTGGCTCAGGTGAACGGTCACTTCCTAGAGGAAGCCTTCCGGGACGGCCAGGGCAAGCCCAGCCGCTCCTTCCTGCCTGTCCCTTAGCATCCAGAACCCACCTGCCTTAGAATCATTTGGTGCCTGGAATCACCGGCCTTAGGCTAGCGTCCCCTCCGCCTGGCTCGGGCCAGGCGAGCACAAGAAGCCAGGTCTGGAAATAGATCCCCTCGAGTTCATGCCCCGGTGCCCACTCCTGTGTATCCTGGGCCAACATGCTTAACCTCTCTGAGTGCAATTTCTTTGTCTGTAAAACAGGCTTGAAGGCACCTTCCCCCATCCTTTTATTGAAAAAAAAAATAAAAACCTGCATGTTCTTTCTTTTTACTTGGCAGGAAGGGACAAGGTAAAGGCGTGGATCTTGGGATGTGCAGACATGTGGGCCTAGTTGGAAGTATTTACTGTGACGCCAGGGCTCCCATAGTGTTTCAGGTTCTTTTGGGTCAAAGAAACTTGGCCAGTGTCTCGTTTTTGCTTTGGATGACCTTCCCATGGAAGGCCCAAGAGTGAGGGGCACTCACTGGCTGGAGACCCACAGATCTCATACCCTTGATGCCTCAGCGGGGTCCGGGTCCCCCGTGTGGGGATGATCACACCAAGGCTCGTGGAATTAGACCAGCCCAGCCGGAGCCGCCGTCAGGTCCATCCTGCCCATATGCAGATACAAGGTTCTCCCTTAAGCCCAAGCTCCTCAAACCAGTCTTTAGATCCCTGCGTTTGAACTATCTATCTGCCTGTTAAAAATGCATCTGGACCTAACCCAGGTTTAATGACTCAGAGTCTCCAGGGAGGAAGCTGGGGAATTTGCAGGGTTCATGAAATCCCTGGGAACAGCTCAAGAGGCCCCGGGTGCACCCCCAGACTCCCCCCCACCCAGGAGAGGTAAGTGTGGGGAAAGGGAGGTGAAGAAAGAAGCTCCCATATCCTACCCCTTGGAGCAGTGAGGTCCTCTCCACTCTACAAACAGAACTTCTCTCCATGGAATCCCGCGCTTGTTCTGCAGGTAATTCTCCATGAACATTCTGGCTGTTGACGAGTCTGTTGACAAATCATGGGAGCTGATACACAACCCTGGGCTGAAGAGACGGGCTTCAGTCTCTCCATCTGCAAGGTGGGACCCCTACAACCCCGCTGGGCTGCTGAGATGACAGGCAGCACAGCATCACTGCCGGAGATTCCTCCCCCTTGTGTGCGCCGACCTTGTCACTGGAGCGCTTGATGGCCCTGAATGTGTCACATCCACAAAGCAGGTGG